AAGTTTCAGGAAACTCTGAATTAGCTGCAACTTTAATTGTGGTATAAAAGTAATTTGTACCACTCAATCTGTATATATGCTGAAAATCTAAAGATGGAAACTAACATACCAGTCAAGCTCTTCAGGGCGTAGCCTTGCTGCAAGTCTGTGCTCAGTGTAGCCTCCTCTAGAGCCAACAGATTGGCTATTTCCTGATCATAGCAATAAACAAGATAAGATACTGAAATAGGAGCACTTCTAATGGATCTAGTGACACTTCAGTTGTTTGAAATTGGGAAAGGAACAGGACTATGAAGATACTAACTTAAAAACACCAGTGTTTATCTGACTATAAAATTACATTCTTTGAACGTTAAAATAATACCTTGGTGATCAGGTTGCCAATGTAGGGCAGGACTCCCCGGGCAGCCAGATAAATCTTCCAGTGTGTTGGCTTAATCAGCTTCTGGTACAGACCCAGATACTCCACTGCACACTCTCCAGCGACACTCAGTTCATCCAGATAACTTAAAGAAGGACAGTTTTTTAATCACTTTAACAGTTTTCATCCTTTTGCTTGAGAAACTATGCAATAAGTGAGCTGCCTGAGACGCATTTTCTTTCATTATTAAGCACAGAATTATGTTCTTCTTTAACACTTTATCTGTAAAGTATTTAAAATAATATTATTTTTCTGCCCGATAATTCATTTTCCAGCAAATATAAAATCATGGAAATACATGATAAGAGCTATTCATCTTTAACTAGTTATGCTATATTGCTAAGCATATCCAAATTCATTGGAATTATCAACCTAATTTATGTATATGAAATTCAAAATAGAGCATGTCATGATTTTCTGGCTTTTTGTTGAGACTCGTACCTGGTGAGCAGGTCCAGGACCTGTTGCTTGCGGCTAGGGATTGTGGTAAGTGCCTCCACAATAGTGCAAGCTGCCTGTCTTGCAGCCTGGGTGGCAGGTGTGAAAAGAACCTGCAAAAAGTAGAGCTAAAGTTAGCATTTTTTAAGAAATTGCATTTACCGGTTTGTGAACTAACCAACAAAGCAAACAACATTTTTCTGATTTTTTATTTTTTAATTATTACCTGTCGCAGCCAGTTGTTGTGGCTCAGTTTAAGCAGGCGCGGGAAAAGGCCTTCTCCTTTTCTAGACCTCATGAACTGTTTCCACTTCCACACATACTTCTCAAGTAGATACTGTTTCCGTAACTCAGCCTTCCCCTGAGGTTTTGACATCGTTTCCTGACCTGCGATAGACAACAATGAGAAGTTTATTGAGTGCTCCTATTTCATTACATACAATAAATGAATAAACCTGTGACATTCAGATAATGTAAACCGTTCAGACATGATACTTACATCTTGCTGGAAGACACTTTTTCCAGGCCTCATAAGATGCTTTGGGATCTTTTTTGAGCCAGAGTTGGGCCTGGGCGTGGATTTCATTACTGTAGGGCCTGACTGTAGTCAGAGACTCAATGGCAGCATCCTTTAAACAGAAAACACACATAACTTTGTTAGGTGGCATAATACAACCAAGTGGTAACCGACACAACAGATATGCTTATATTTATCTATTTTAAACATGCAGCAATTTTTTTTTTACCTTGTTCTTCTTGCTAGTGGGAGCAGGGGGCTTAATCAGCTTTTGCAGGATTCTCAGGCACATCAGTGTGATGTTTTCCACCACTACCGGTGTCTTTATGTTGACAGACATGAGGAACAGGCTGAGGGCTACATATGGGGAAGGAGTGAGGGAAAACAAAACAAAAGATACAACACTATTAGTCGAAGACTCTTAACTGCTTTAATCCAACAAAACCTCTTTCAAAATAATATTAGAGGAAAAAAGAAGAAGAAGAGCGATAGTTCCAGGTGTCTAATCAATACCACCCTATGTAGACCGAGACTGATTTGGTCAGACAAAAATAACCAAACCAAA